AAAAATATTTTTTTCGTTCTGGCCATGTTTATTACCTCTAATTTGTCATATATCTCAACAACCTGCATGTTAACCTAGCCCGTCGATGCGTTGCATTATATCTCTATGTAGGTACTGTAGTACCACATTAGTATAATAATTAAACCCTCCGGCTAAAAAAAGATTTAAAGTTAAATCTCCGGAACCTGTTACTAAAATTAACACTAGACGTATATTTTTGAATTGAAATTTATAATATAATTAGGCAGCTCGGATCCTTTAACGCTACAACCTTCTGCTATTTCAGAAGCACATAAAACAACAATACCCACTGTTCCACTGGCTAATCCCCAATCAACACTATAACTAGTTAAACGTAATTGTTTCAGGATATCATCATAAAGCACTGTCATGACTTGACAATCACGTAATATGATTGGTAAAACTGATGAAACTATTACCAGAATCGGTCAACAAATTGACTTATAATTACCATTGAACAGTGTTGTTTTATCGTTACCTTCATCGATTACAGATGATTACTGAATGTTTCTCTATCAGTTGCTCATTAAATAACTCAAATCCTTGTCAGTCCAATTGGAAGTTTAGCGACACAATCATGTATGCAAATGATCAGCATAAGCAGTCGAGCAAATCTCCTCCAAACCGAAAACACCAATGTCGAATTCACCCCAAGACTGACTAGGGTTCAAGCCATAATCATAGACGTGAGTTGGGAGTGTACTCCCCTTGGTTACAACTTATATTCGACCTGATAATCACATGAGCATCACTCACTGTTAATTACCTTGTAAAAACTTAGCTAGCCAGATACATCTTGCGGCATCACATCACCTAGAAATGTGACACATAGGCTTAGTTGATTTCAACAACTTTAATCACTATAACTCAATTAAATCGTATTCCGCCTTATGTTAAACTGCAACATCAGCCGGTAGGTATGAATGTAAATAAATAGTCTGTGGCAAATCAGAACACTGAGTCTAGAGCATGTCTCTTACAAATACACTCATGTTTAACGAAATGCTCTTAGTTATCTGTCCAAAAGTACCGTAATTTTTACCATTTTCATGCACTAGAAATCTTTTGATAACCATTCGTATCTATTAGTAGTATTACTAAATTCTATCACGGTCAAGTAAAAATGAGGTTGAGGAAATCTCCACATAACCAAATAAACCGTATGAAACTGACTAGAACACTAGTTGGAATTCTTCTCTACGGTCATACTTTTGTTCTCTCAGTTAGCCTACTAATACAGATGCAATTGAAAACCAACTCATATGAACAGGTTACCGGCATAAACGTTATTTAGTTTCATAATTAAAACCGAAGTTATTACCAATATTAACACTTCTACAATATTGAATTTTTTAAAAATTTCTAAACACAAAATATGTACTGCCTATAAGTTAATCTAATAACACGCATATTACGGCGACTTATCAAAATAACTCTACACGGAATCATTTTATTCTTATTATCCCAATTTTGCCCAATTTTTCATTTTAAGCGTGTTAACCATGAGAGCAGATATTTTGAAATTATTACATGTATTTGCCGATTAGATGCTGCCGCCTTTTTGATGTATCTTTCAGCCTGCCTGAACCCGAAGGATTCTTATTATTATTGGTAACCTCCGGCGCGCGGCAATCACATTCAGTTTGCTATCGAACCAATATCACGTCGATTCTGGTGGGAGAGTGATGTAGTGGCATTGGACCATAACCACACAATCCTCAAAGCTAAACACGAGACTACTCGGAAAATAGATATTCAATATTTAACGCGGAGAAATACCTAACGATGGAGAGGGCAGGAACAAGGAATCGAGTTAATTGGAGTTGATCGAATGGCATGGCTCGACCATGCAGGCGTGGTCCTTGTTGAATGTTACCTTATATCTTTTATTCATATTAAATATATTGTCCTATCTCTAGCCTAAGCTTGTTCTACATTATGTATTGGTGATTGTTGCGATACAATGGTTTGGTATAGACGATTGTATGAGTTCCACGTAAGATCTTATGGATTAGTCAGTTATATCATGACAAGTCTACAATTTTAGGATTAGGTCTATTATTAGAGCAGTACTAATATAGTAGACCATAATTCTACAACCCGTCAGGGCCCGGTGTCTTACCAGGTTTGAGGTTAGCTATCAACGGAAGGACAGTTTCCTCAGTCACCTGTACAGATTCAATGGATGGTATCTCGATGTGACTGGGACAAGTATTTGTAACAACACACATGGATTGGACTTCGCTAAAGTAGTTTGAAAAAGTCTCAGCTTTTGCTCGATCTGATTCAGCCAGTAAATCTGAGTTTTCGTGTAACAGCAATAAGAGAACACCATCACTATTTATTGTTCGCCGTTTAACATACTAAAAGGATCGTTTCAGACAAGTATGGCTATCATATGCCAACTGTCGTTCGTAAGTAGTACGGAATTTAGCTATGGTCTTTGTACATGTATTCCAGATTTTTTGGTATTCATACTTGAATGATGCGTGTCCTTTAGACAGGAATAGGTCCCAGAAGTGTTTCCTACGCTTCAACAGCTTCCGGCTTTTCTTATTAATCCATGAAGGGCAATGTGATAGCTTACCTGTTGACCTTGGGATAAACGGTGATGTTACGGACTCAAATTCAGCATTAAATGTATTACATTCGTCTTCGATCGATCCATCCGCGTCGACCAACCAGTCAGTCGAGATAGCACAGTCTCTGATTGCCGGAATATTAGCTCGCCAGATATGGGGACGGAGTGGGGCAGATACAAATTGTATACCATGTGTCCTAAACTTAGTGAGGTACAACGTGATCAGTATTCACTAGTGAGGGAAGGTGCCGAATGTCGATGACATCCTCACAGCGGTGTGTGAGGACAAGGTCCAGCAATGACGGGTAATATTCCAAGTCAATATGTGTCGGTTTTGCGATACATTGTACAAGTGCACACTGAATAATGGTTGATAGAAGGTCGCTATCGAACCCCCCACCTGGAGCTGTAAGCTCTATCCAGTTGATATACGGTGCGTTGAAGTCTCCAGTGATGGGACAACGTTCTGCCGTACTCCAAGAACAGGCGTGTCTTAAGATAAAGTCGTCAGCAAGACAAAACGGACTACGGTATATTCCCCCTATAGTCACCAACCCATTTCTAGATTTAATCTTACAACATGCTACCTCACATGTACCACTAGTATGCGCCTCCGATATGATTAATTGTATACGAAAGTGATCACTAACGTATAGTATTATGCCTCCTCCCTATCACTTCTAATACAGATGTAACCTGCGATGATGGGAGAACAATCTATATCTACGGTGAGCCAAGTTTCTGTAACGACAATTATATCGGGACTTGATTCACCCATCATCAAACTTAGGTCGGACGTTTTATTTCGAAGACTACGGGCGTTCGTGTAGCATACTTTTAAGATGCTTTGGGAATCATTCGTTCTACCCATACAGGCCTCGGAAGCATTGGCTCCCAAGAACTGACTACCCGAAAACTCTTAATCGTAAGGTTCGTTTCGCCATATAGCATTCGAGTTCATAACTCCGTACGAGCATTCTTCCACTTGGTTCGATCCACAAGTGATATGTACCTCTGAAACTTATTCAAGCAGCACATTTCTGACTACAGATTTTACTAACTACAGACGATCTGCATGTCTTTTATTAAGGTCATTGTCTTTCGACTCTTCTAGATTCCAAATAAATAAACTAGGATATGGTTTAGCTTCTTTTGAAATTGTGTTCACGGCTTTCAGTCGTGATGCTAGATCCTGCGCATTAACTGCTGGTATCTTACGATTAGTTTTTATTGGAACAGAGTCATGGGAGTCGAGTGCGTGACTCACAACAATGTTTGACGGGGTTTTACTTTAAGACTCTGGCGGAAAAGTCTGTAGAATTATGGTCTACTATATTAGTACTGCTCTAATAATAGACCTAATCCTAAAATTGTAGACTTGTCATGATATAACTGACTAATCCATAAGATCTTACGTGGAACTCATACAATCGTCTATACCAAACCATTGTATCGCAACAATCACCAATACATAATGTAGAACAAGCTTAGGCTAGAGATAGGACAATATATTTAATATGAATAAAAGATATAAGGTAACATTCAACAAGGACCACGCCTGCATGGTCGAGCCATGCCATTCGATCAACTCCAATTAACTCGATTCCTTGTTCCTGCCCTCTCCATCGTTAGGTATTTCTCCGCGTTAAATATTGAATATCTATTTTCCGAGTAGTCTCGTGTTTAGCTTTGAGGATTGTGTGGTTATGGTCCAATGCCATTACAAATACACAAAGCACTTATCAAGTAAACAGACATTAATTTTAGCTATCAATCCTTTTCTTCTACGTTTACAATGAGAGTTGGGCTTTGAGTACCTTTTATATGCAATCCGGCTTAGACGGGTGCACATCTTATGGAACCACTTATTACACACATAACATTACATCCCTTCCTCCACAGGGAATAAGCAATATGCTTGTCCACATTTATGAGCAGAGCTGGTCATCTTGAAGTTTAACTACAATGGTGACACAAACAGGATACGTAAAAGAATTCTCAAACGTTGACTAAATAAATGAAGCATAAGTCGACCAAGTATGCTTTGATGCAATAAATACACAAAAGCAAAATCAAAACACTCAATACAATATCAATTTAACTGGAATAAATTCAAAAAAAGTGTAAATAGTACTTTTGATGCGTATTTTACGATCAAAACAGTTAAATTAACTCAACGACAAACAATATCACTGTCCTTTTAAATTGCGCGCAATCTGAGCTTCTTGTGAATTAATTTAGGTTTGTGTGTTTATTGCATCAAAAGAATACTTGGTCTGCTTTAACATGAATTATTTCGGTTAACGTTGGAAATCTTATTCAAATCCGTTTTGTAGTACTCATTTTTAATTTATCCTCACACTATTGATTACATTGTGTATTTTCACTGAATGTTTCACTCTTGCAATCCGTTTACAATGGTCGGCTGTACTTATAAACAGGGACAGCCAAATTGTTTCTTACCTGTGGAGAAACGAATGCAATGTAATGTGTAAAACCAGTTCCACAAGATATGTATCAGTTTAAGTCCCATCGCATACAATAGATTCTCGAAGCTTAACTCTCATTGGCTTCGTATATTTGCTGTTCGAGTCAAACACTTGACTGCGAATTATGGAAAAGGAAAATCTCCCGTGAAAAAAAGTGAAATGTAACTGAATATTCGAGGTCGTGATTCTAAAGTGGTGCTCGAAGACACGGATAAAACTGTCACAGTTCTAAATGGTCTCGATGTGGCTGTTCTGAGTGACCGGAAATAGATGACCGTGCGGAGACAAACAATAGGAAGAAAAGAAGTCCCAAACACTATCCGTCTGGTTGATAAATTTTTCAGTCAGTTAGTCGGCTACACCGTAGGATCAGGCACATATATTCATCGGTCTATGTTGATTATAACCTTTAGCATACAACACTGGGTGTAGCTAATGTTATTGATGATGTCACAGGTATTCAGTGTTTGACAACGCTTCTACCAGTAACATCTTCTAATGTATTTCGTTCCCACCCAGAGAAATCAAAAGACAAAGTCGAGGAGATCGGAAGAGTATATTTGGCGATGACCAATATATCGGAATTCTCTGATCTAATCTGGCTAGCGATTGCGGTTGATGTTGAGCACGGCGTTACCACACGTGATCTGGTGCGGATGCCTGACCGAGCACCTTCAGCTAGATGAGTCCACTAAAACATATGGTCAGTATCCAATGTCGAAAACTTAGAGCTATTTATTTTGGGGATTAATTTACCGCTACATTACTTAAAAAAGAATGTGTTCTATCATTCAGTGTAGGGAAAAGGATATGTAGCGTGGACACAGGAATGTAGATAACCTTAACTTCTTACTGGATTTAGTGGAAGGTTATTTACAAATTCCTGTCCTTTACGGATTCACTTGGACTTAAAGAGCGCACATTTGCATGCCTGGATGAAATGCCTCTCACACTCGTTAAACTGTCATATAGCGAGAAATGAACACGGTTCACTCAGTCACGAAATTCTTTAGGTTGTTCTGTGAAAAGCGACCAGTCATCTGATACCATCCGTTAAAATAGAGAATTTATCAAAGTCTGAAGAGTTTTGTCAATAGTTCTCTGAATTGTGTAGTCTGTCTCCGAACATTTCGAGCGAGATTCCACAATCACGCGGTTTGGTAAGCTTGCAAGGCAGTGTACAGTGAGACACATGGTTTCTGTACATGTAGTCAAGGTACTTATACTACTTAGTTTAGTTGGCACTCAGAGCTGCTGTTCACAATTTCCAGTCCTCTGATCTGTAAACGGCCAAAAAGGACTTTGAACGACTAATACACTGAACTTTGTGGACCTTCTGTAGGATTTAAGGGATTCAGAAATATCCGCTCGTTCTTCAACGGACGTTCACGGCACACAATAATTCACGACAACAATGTTGCTTGAGCACTTTCTGAAGAGTTTCAGGTTATTGTCCATTTATGATAAATCTAGACGTTTTTGTAATCAATTGCTTGTCACCTGATGCTTGTTGAATATCTTCCTTTTTTCTGGTAGACCTCGAATAGCACTAAGTAAGCAACTTATTAGTCCATCGTAAATAGCATGGGATTACCAATTATGCTCTGTTCTCTTATCAACTGGGAATGGCCATTAGCTTGTTCGATATCTTCAACGCAGAACTCAGAACTAGTAATTGACAGGCACCCCAGGTTAGCCTTCTGTGAAATTATCTGGCTGATGTGTCCCGTGACCACTTAAATGATTCTGTTATCGCCCAGTGTTAAAGTTAATCCTGCTGATGTAGTCGCTGAATGCGATGTGTGTCTTAAGCACTAACGAACGCAAAAATAGCCAAAGAGAAACTTTGAGAAGCTAGATATACCTGTATGTCTGTATTTTTTTTGGCATACAAATGCATATATATTCACGTAAACATTGGGTAGAGGAAAGGGACAAGAATCATATTTTAAAGGACCCGCCTTAACAAATTAAAACAAGTAACTTTCCAAACCAAGTAAGGGACACACACAGTGCAGAATATCTAAAGTTAGAAACAAATAAATAATTAGTAATAAATGTCGATACCAGCCGACAAAATCATTTACTAAAATTCGACATTTGCAAGCGATAATGATAAACTAAAAAAGATTGACAAGCGCATTTTGCAAAATCCTGGGACGACTTATTGTAAAGTAATAAGAATAACAGTGACAATAGGCATAATAATAATAACACTTGAAGAAATAAAATAATGATAAGTTAGACTCTTCAATATCATAAAAGAGCACAAGTAGTACTAGGTTACAACAATGAATAACAGAAAAAATGATATCATTGCAAAGATAGATAAAAAGAAAACAATTACGATAATTCAACTTAAAACAGATTTAGAACACAAACTGACAAGGATGAAAAGCGTATTAAAAGAGATTATAATTCAAAAAATGAATAATTGATTATATAGTAAATGGCATCAACTGAACCTAGACGAAAACGTAGGTATTTATCTAATATCCAGTAGGACAGCTTCATTTAATCTGTCACAGAATCGAAACCTAAACGAAAAAGGAGGAAAATATACGCATACAAAAGTAAACAGAACAATAAAGACTATATGAGTGATACGTATAATAAGAATACAAACTGCTTATACTCGATTCTAATTGTGAATACAGGGCGTTCGTGGTTGCTGCCATGATTTAGTGATTAGAATGGCTTGTCGTAGTTAAATGTTCAACCCTTGTTAGGTTTTGGAACATGAACGCGCAGACACTGAACTGTCGACGTACGCCTTGACTTGGAGGCTGCAATCATTAATTTCATTTTAGTGTCCATAATCGAAAAACGTATTACCGAGGAATAAAGAACAGATGATCTTTAGCTTAAATATTATTGGTTGAGAACAAGTTTATTTCAAACTGTCGATAGAACTGTCAACTTTAAACGGTGTTCTTCACCTCTATACGGTTTCTCTAGCTTTGTTTTGTTCAGAAAATACCAAAGGAAATCGCTTTTTCAACACTTAAAAATTCAGGGATTAGTCACTTGCCTAAAAGCTCAACTATTGACTTATAGTAAACAGATAATAAGCTCGATTTAGAGAACAGATAGAAAAGTCCGGTCTCCCGAATTTCTCGAGTCAACGCAAGTGTTTAAACTATGTTTCCCTATAGAAATGACTGCATTTTGTGGCCCGTTATTTTGACGCCAATTAAATAGGACGATGATGTCGACGGGCTCATCACTTTAGTCGCCCTAGATCCGACGCCAGCTAGGTCGTTTCGGATTGTTATTGAATACATATATTTTGTGCACTCATTGATCTGGACAGACAATCAGAGGAACGAAGCGAAGAAGGCATGTTGGCCAACTCCGCCTAATCAAGCGTTAATCGATATTTATATTCACACAGTTACAGATATATGATGAATAGGATAAAAAGTGCACAAATACACTTACATAAAAACAGTCAAGGTTGCTAAGCGAATGATTAACAAGGTCAAAATGTGACTCAAGATGAATGAATAAATTGGCCTGTCCGGAAGCTACAATGAGCTACGCGGGTTTAACATAGCACTACATTTTGCCTATAAAAACACAAGTATAATTTGTAGCTGCAAAACGTGAACTTTGAAATTATAGGATACTCTCAGGTCACTAGCATTTAATAATAAGTAGCCAGGAAGCATTTCTTAAGTATGGTAGATGTTAGAGGAATATAGATTGAATTAAAGCACGTTCTGTGCACAATTGTGTTGATGAACGCTGACTGGCCACTTCTTATCCAATCAGCGCTAGTGGATGCTCGAGGAAGACTCTAGGATCTTCTCATGTAAAAATTATAAATACACTATCGGCGGCCTGCTTGAGCATCTGGGCTACCTGTTCCTGCCATCTAAATATTTCAACAAGTTTTTCTATTTTTGTTTGTTTTAATATATCATTATGTCTATTAATCGCACAACCTATACTGCTGCGTTTCTGAAAAATGTACAACCTTTCGTTATCAAAGTTACAAAAAGCTCAAAAAGAGAGAATATGGTTGCTGGCAATATACAACGAAAAGAATGTACATCATTCCCATGTTCATTTACTGGATTGATAACATCTAGCTGGCGACCACTCAGTATCTATCGCGAGGACCGACCAAGAAGAAAGAAACGGAAACTTGTTGAAATACTTTGTGCTGAGAATTCGATAATGTACCAATAATATAATATTGAATAAAGCTAATAATAATAATAATAATAATAATAATAATAATAATAATAATAATAATAATAATAATAATAATAATAATAACGTTTTTCTTATTGTGCTTTTTACTTCCATCTACCCTCGTTATTAGGAATATAATTTCGTTCCTGTTCAACCGTGTTCTGATTTGGGGACTTGTCGAGTGAATTGGTGTCCAAGAATACTAAGCAATAGGAATAGCTGGGTCGTAATAAGAGAAATTCTTACAACAGAACACCCGAATGAGCAATACAGAGCTTAAACGTAAATGGCTGGATAGGAACGGCAATCGGACTGAAGAGGCTGTAAACATTTACCAGGTGTGACTGAGACACGTGTTACGCATGCTTAAGCACCGCCAAGTACTACTTGACGCACAGTACTGTGTGGTGAAGTAATAAGTTGGATAGAAGCTTATAATGTGACAAGTTGTCAGTATAGGTTTCAGAACATGTCTATCAACAAAATGGGCTGTAAGGTTAAGCCATAATGACTTGTGGATAGATATCACAAACAGTTACTTTAATGAATTTCAGGAAAATTTAAAGCCTAATTATATTTACTAAAATATGATTGACTAACACGATTGCAACATCATGAGATGATACATTAATCTTTTACTGTTATGTCAACGGTCTGGACCACACAAATTGCAGAGCTACAACAGATAATTTTAAATTGTAGATCTATTGGAAATTTTAACATTTCAACTATTATTTCTCTATATATAATAAAACCGTCAGGATTATTATTTATCCAATAATTCATCAATAACCAGTAACAGCCTACTGTGGGAGAGAACAAACCAGGTTCCAGCTGAGGAGGATATTAGGAAAAGACGATGGAAGTGGATAGGACATACATTACGGAAATCACCAAACCGCATCACGAGGTAAGCTTACTTACTTACTTACGCCTGTTACTCCTCGTGAAGGAGCATAGGCCGCTCACCAGCATTCTCCATTCAACCCTGTCCCAAACAATCCTTTCCAGCTCCTTCCAGTTGTAATTCTTCCTTTTCATATTTACTTCTATTATCAGACGTAATGTGTTCTTTGGCCTTCCTCTTTTCCGCTTCCCTTCAGGATTTCAAGTTAGCGCTTGCCACGTGATTCAGTTTGACGATCTGCGTAATGTTTGTCCTATCCATTTTCATCGTCTTTTCCTAATTTCTTCTTCAGCTGGAAGTTGGTTTGTTCTCTCCCACAGAAGGCTATTGCTGATGGTTTCCGGCCAATGGATGTTGAGTATCTTGAGAAGACAGCTATTTATAAATACTTGTACTTTCCTGATTGTGGTTGTTGTAGTTCTCCAAGTTTCAGCTCCATACACTAGAACTGTCTTGACGTTCGTATTGAAGATTCTCACTTTGATATTGGTTGAAAGTTGTTTTGAGTTCCATATGTTCTTCAATTGTAGGAATGCGACTCTTGCTTTGCAAATCCTCGTCTTTACGTCTGCATCTGGGCCTCCTTGTTCACCGATGATGCTTCCCAGGTATGTGAAGGATTCTACATCTTAAAGAGTTTCGCCATCAAGAGTGATTGGATTGCTGTTCTCCGCTTTGAATTTGAGGACCTTGGTTTTCCCTTTGTGTATGCTGAGGCCTACTGATGGAGAGACTGCTGCTACACTGGCTGTCTTTATCTGCATCTGTTCGCGTGTATGCGATAGGAGGGCTAGGTCATCTGCGAAGTTCAGATGTCGAGGTCTTCATAATCCAGTCGACCACCAGAAGAAAGAGGAAGGGAGAGAGTAAACAGCCTTGTCTGACTCCGGTCCTTACTTGGAATGCATCTGTCAGCTGTCCTCCATGCACGACCTTGCATTGTAGTCCGTCGTATGAGTTCCGGATAATATTGACAATCTTCTCAGGAACTCGGTAGTGTCGAAGAAGTTTCCATAATGTCCTCGTATCCACACTGTCAAATGCCTTTTCATAATCAATGAAGTTGATGTATAGTGATGAGTTCCACTCAACTGATTGTTCGACGATGATCCGTAGTGTCACAATTTGGTCTGTGCACGATCGATCCTCACGGAATCCAGCTTGTTGATCTCGAAGTTGGGCGTCTACTGCATCCTTCATCTGGTTCAGCAACACTCTGTTGAAGACTTTCCCTGGTATTGACAGTAGTATAATGCCTCTGCAGTTTTCACATTTGCTCAGATCTCCTTTCTTTGGAATCTTGACGAGGTGTCCTTCTTTCCAGTCCATCAGCACTTGTTCCTCCTCCCAAATCTTTTTGAATAGAAGGTAAAGCATGCTTGTGATTACTTCGACGTCTGATTTCAGTGCTTCAGCTGGTATGTTTTCGGGTCCTGCTGCTTTCCCGTTCTTGATTTGTCTGATGGTCATTCTGATTTCTTCCGTCGTTGGTGGGTTGACATCTATAGGAAGATCTGTGTGTGCTACTTCGATGTCCACTGGATTCACTGGAGCCGGCCTATTCAGAAGTTCCTCGAAGTATTCTAACCATCTGTTCCGCTGTTGTTGAATTTCAGTGATTGGCTTGCCTTCTTTGTCTTTGACCAGTCTCTCTGGTTTACTGTATTTCCCTGATAGTTTCTTCGTTGTATCGTAAAGCTGTTTCATATATCCTTCTCTAACAGCTTTTCTGCCGTCGTTGCTGTCGGCTCTAATGCTCCTCTTCACTTGCTTGTTTGCTTCCATGTATTCAGCTTGTGCTTGGACTTTCTCTGCTCCTGTTCGGCTGTTGTTAATTGCTGCCTTCTTGTTCTTCCTTTCTTTGATCTTGTCCAGTGTTTCTATAGAGATCCACTCCTTATGATGGTGTTTCTTTAGGCCCAGAACCTCTTGCATGGAATACTGAAGGGAAGCGGAAAAGAAGGCCAGAGAACACAATGCGTCGGGAATCGGAAGTATACATGAAAAAATGAATAGCAGCTGGAAAGGATAGTCCAGGGCAGAGTTAGATGGAGAATGCTGGTGGGCGGCTATGCTCTTCCTCGAGGGGCAACAGGCATAAGCAATAATTGGTTAACACATACGCAAAACGTTTTCTTATTAAATGAACGAATAAAAAATTAACAAACTTAATGTGTAGACGAAACTGGTGGACACTTATCAGCAATAAGTGTATTTAGCTATGGAAGGTAATATTCAGTGAGTGTGATTCAAAAAACGGATTACCTATACAACGGTATTCCAATGATTTCATAGAGATACTATATTATCAGTTTGGCACTAATTTTAACTCTGGTCTTTTAAACTAACAAAATAAACGGTGTATCTTAGGAGATAATTAATCATAACATAGAACAAGATTGAAAAAAAGCATTACAAAAATATACAAGAGAAATTCATACCTCCAATAGCATGTTCCGTTACTTTACGTGTGAGTAGATCTAAATCTCGATTAATTCGATCATTTGACGAATCTGATGGATCTCCGATCATGTTATTCTCTGCAGTTGCGATATAATTATCCACAAACACTAACAAATCATTATTACTACTATTATTATCATTAGTATTATCATTATTTAAATCATAAATATTATGCATACATTGAGGTATTTCATGATATTCGGTTTGTCTTCGATTAATTTGATGTGAATAGGGATCAGTCGACCAACAACTAATCCCAGGAAGTTTTGAGTCGGTTTGTTGTGATGAACTTATTGTTGTTGAACAGTTAGAATGACTAACACTTTGTGAAGGACTCTCTCCAAATGATGAACCAAATGTATGATAAACATTTCCAATTACGATAGGATTAGGAATACATGGGATTGATGGATAATTTGAAGTTAAGAACCTTCCAGAATTTTCGCAATAATTAGGAAAAATATGTTGATGCAAGCTTTTTAAATGATTCGGTGAACTTAAAGGCAACAATGTATGAGGTGTGGTTGCTTTATTAGTAGGTGTGCATAAGCATGAACTATAAGTCTATATTAACACAATAAATAAGTATAAAACAGTAAGAATTACGTTTATGAAGAAAAAAAAAACAATTGGAAATAGCAAAGTTCAAACTCTACCTAACAAAATTCGAACATACACAGTACTATGAAAATAAGAGATTATTCTATTTTTATTAGGATAGGAGTTTTGTGGAGATGGTTAATTTTTATGCCACATATTAACTTTACTTGGATAATCATTGGAAACCAGGTGGGACATGACATCTGCTTTTTATTTAAACTAGAAATATGAACTATTAAGATGCTAAGTCAGTGGTCTAGATGTAACACGAATTTTGTGAACAGTGAGTTTTGAGTTTGACTATTGATGGAGAAATGGGTATGCAATGGTGCGATGTAGTGCTTTTTGTTTTTCAATGGTTTTCTAGAAAAAGTCAACCTGCGGTGTAACCTAAAAAGCCTATATCTATTTGTTATAATGTCAACAGTTGGTGTACCTTAAAAATGCGTGAAAAAACTTCGAAATATAAAATTGTTACTAGTATAGGGGAGAAGGTGAAGATTATAGAACTTATATAATATAAATCACGAAACCATATGTTAATAATCATCAAGTGCCCATTAATGACTAGCTTCAAAATGTGGTTCCTGGAGGTCTGGTAATAAGTCATGGACTAGTGGGGTCTAGTCATGAGTTGTCGTGAGTTATCTACGAGATATTTATTTGTTTGAACACATAAATATTGGCACAAGGGGGAACCAGACACATATGCGCCACACAATATTAATGAGAATGGGAAGAGATGAAGAATGCAAGGTGTGTGTAAAAAGGAAAAAAAGAATAATAACAACCACAAATTAATGTGTGGTAGTGAAATAATATAATAATGAGGGAAACAGAAAGATACAACCAGAAAGAATTCTTTCAGTTAAAAAAGTTACGGTCACTTTTTATGAAGAAAGCAAAAGAAGGTTATAGCAGGATCGCCACTGGCTTCTATTCTGAACCATATCTGATAACATCTCTAGCTGTGTTGCACCATCTCTAGGACCCCAGCCAGGGAGTCGTGAAGGACCAACACAAGCCAGCCCTTTGCAGCTTTTTTTCATACCACGATACTATGTTATACACTGACCACCTCTCCGCTTTTTCCAACCAGTACCAGAGTCGGCAAATAATGCATGACGAGGAATTTTCTGGGACAACATTCGTAGAAAATGTCCAAGCCACCGAAGTCGATGTTTCAAGATGGTGACACCAATTGGATTATCATCTCTGCGCCCGAACACACGATGCCGAACCTCTGCATTACTAACATGGTTTAGTGCGGACTGCATGACTTGGGCATTATCGCACAGTAAGACAATATCATCCGCATACTCAAGGTCAAGAAGTCTATCTCTAGTCAACAGATCCACACCGCCATTAATTACATCCATCAGGGCTGTTTCCAGAATGTCATCGATGGCAAAGTTGAAGAGGAATGGTGAGATTGTGCAATCCTGTCTTACACCACTGCTTGAATGGAACAATGGAGAAAGGTGGTTGTATGTCCTCACTCTACCTGAGGTGTTTGTTAATAGGGCTTTTAGGATGTTAATAAACTTCTCAGGCACACCCTTCTTCAATAGACAATCCCAGGGAAGTCTTGTCCAACGAATAGAAGGCAGCCCATCCACGACAGAAAAAGGAAAATGGTTGCACACTCTCATAAATTCATTGGGGTTAGGCACATACGCCAACAGGTACCGGATAAATGGTTCGGAGGTTGAGTGTTCACGCTCAAAACTGAAGGTCAGGAGTTCGATAGAAGAGGTTGGGGTCGCTAGATAAACATTGTTGTAGAGTCCTGTAATTTATTTATTTAAACACCTAAACATTGGTACAAGAGGCATCAAATACATATGCGCCACATAAGTCATTCAATTCGTGTGACGGCTAGGATACTGCCTGGCTACCCAGACCGAAGCACGTGGTTTTCTTAAGGGGTCACACCCGGAGTTTTTGACCTAAAGGTCTGATCCACAAGGTAGTGGAGCGACGTAAGAATATGCAGTCCCATTGTAGCCGGTGATCAGCGATTGGTTCATACGCCATTTGTTCCTTCAGGATGCTGGAGCCCATGTGTACCATTGGTTTGGAATCAGGGTTTTCCAACTTCCTTAGGTGGACCCTCCGTACCCACCACCAACCTAGTAAAAGCGCCGGACATTCGCTTTCCGTCCTCTCAATTTTGTAATGAACACCCTCGCCGCGAGAAGGCAGTGTGTAGGACTTCCCTGGCAGTGGTTGTATGCACGTGGTCATGAAATAACTGTCTAACGCTTCCTGGTTTTCAATGATCCTCTAGCGAATATCAGTTCGTGATTTAAACCGTAAAATTATTAACTGAACTACAGAGTAGCAGACTCAAAAAATGACTGTATTGAAATTATTGAATATCTTCGACTATTTTTGTTTCACCTAGCTACGTATTATTTGCTACATAAGGAATTGTAAAAATGTTTGTAAATTTTTTGATGACAGCTGATTTACTTGATGCTTAGAAAAATATCAGGGCAGTAAAATGCAGGAAGAATGTTTACCTTTTTAAACCATATGGATAAAAAGCAGAATGAATGTAATTGTAACACTTGACAAGTAGAGTCCCTATCCCAGTTCACTTTAAGTAATTAAGAGGCACTGCAATATGTAAAGCATACTGCGATCAAACAATATACTTAACCAAAAAGCTGTGGTTACATAATGGGAGCTCTGACAAGGGAATAAAAACCAGAAGTTATATGAGACAAAGAACCAGATAGTACTTACCTTGTGAAAGGCATTTTCGTATGGTAATATTGAAGTTGGTACGTTTGGCGTTCGAGGCAGTTGCTGTATAATCTGCGTGTCAGAAGTTACATTTTCTGGGCATGATCCCTCACATAACGAAATTGGTGAAACACTTGATGGGGAAGGCGCCGTTGGAAATGCACCTCTGTTATTAGAAAACCAATCATTATAACAAATACCATGACGACAAACATCTGACGGTGAAGGCATTCTAGTAACAGGAGCTGTCGCTACGGGCATTAAATTTCTGCGTGGAGTTACGCTAGTTGAAGGATCAAATCTTGATGGACTATGAAAGCGTGGTTTTGGTAACTGTGATGGGAAACCAGATAATTCCATATCTGAAGATGCTTGAAGGTGATGAGAAAAAGACGAGTTATTTGATGGAAGATTCACCGACATACCACCTCTTCCTGAAAAACATGATGAATTCGGACTAGGCATTCTACGCCTGTTGTTTAGCCTCCCAACAGCTAGGCAATTTCGGGAATCACCAACAGAAGCACTATGTCGTCGTGAAGCTTCAATGGTTGAGGGGATATTTAAAGACATATTTATTCGAGCATAATCCGCATCTGAGGCATCTTGAGTAAAATAAGAAGTGTCCTGAGTATTATGCAAACAAACAGTAGGAATGAGAGTGTTTGCATGAAAAGTTCTATGGCCCATATGAGAACCTAGTCGTTGTTCTTGACCAACAAAAGTAGTTGGTAACTTACGAAGGCGACTAGTGTCTGGGTGATTTACCAGTGGGATATGTCGAGGATAAATATTAGAGTGAAAATCAGATTTTGGCTTTGATGAATTAGACGAATGAGTAACATATTGACCATATACAACGATAATACGATGTTTCCAAAACGAAACAAGTTTCTTTTGTTGTTCTGTGAAAGCCTGAAATATGATGATAATGATAACAAAGAGATTAATAATTTGCACAAGGAAAATGGCACAGTAAAGCATGTAAAAAAGTCTGATTACGTAAATTGAGAAGACTTTCCCTACATACTGATCACACAGAGAAAATAGTATAAACGATTTTTTGGACAGAGGAACAATCAAATAATATAGATTGTGAAAAGTCTGATGTGATACGTATACTTTCAACATTCACTTATGAATGGAATTGTTCAAATAACATTTTTTGTTTTGCGATTTGATTTCTTAATCTTACTTGCAGAAATTCCACTATGCACCTGAAATCCGACGCACTTAGTTAGCCATTTATTGTGAATTCAAAAATGAGGATCTTTTTCTTGCTTTTGGGAGATGAATGAGGGTAATCAGGTCAATAATTATGAACACAGTTTGCTATTGAATCCACTGATTAACTGTTTAGACTTATTGAATTTCGGGACTAATAACCTATTATTTTATCAATGATACTGAACAATGACCAGAGAAGTTTAATCCAAGAGTTTTTTTCATCCAGTGTCCAACCAGAGGGTGAAGCTAGAAAACAATTTTTTCCTATTTTCCTCTACTATCTTACAGATATCATAATTCAAAAGATTATATGATAATATACTTTAAATACTTGGTTACAAAGCAATACAAATAAGAAATTACAATATATACACAACCAAATTATAAATAATACGATATCTGAGTAATAGGGGAATAATCAATTAATAAAAATTCTAGGATAGAATATATGTATAGGGTAATATGGTAATATAATAATTCCAGTATTTATTAATTATACAATCAAAATACAGACAGTAATTCGTCAAAAAAGTTTTGAGCTTAATCTTTTTCAAAGCCGCTCCGATAGAAAACAACCCATACTCTGGACAGTGATCAGAAAGCATAACAAACCCAAAACTATTAATGTTTTTATTAACACAAGAGGTAATAATTTTTGTCTTGGTTATGGATTATTCTTGTGGTCTAAAAAAACTTGAATAGAACGTATGATTCACTGAAAGATTGTTTTTCTCAATAGTATTGTGGTGTGCGCCACTTATATACACATTAGTATATAACGATAGTCAGGAATATAATGTATTTCAGCAGAAGATCGAGAAGAGAAGAACGAGAACGGAAAGCATTTGGTATGAAAATGCAGAAACAATGAAATCCGAGACGATGGACTAATATTCACAAAAGAAGCAGTCAAGTTTGAGACAATGGATTGATAGTTTGCAAACTAAAGATTTACTATATGGTTATCAGATTTTAGTGAGATGTTCTGTAATTTTGTGCTCAAGTACATTCGATTGTCCGCACTCATGTTCTTGTTCATTACATTATCTTAATAAATAGTATTTAACAATTCATGAACTTCCTGATTATTCTTTAAAACTTCAACAAAAATCATAGTAGTTCAGTTCACTTGAGATTATTTGGCTTGTATCTTCCCATTGAGGTTTTAAGACTGCAATTGATCAGTCTGTTATCAGCATATGTGCATACTGTGCGTATGCCTCGATAGTGCCTTAATTCACAAGCTTTTTGTAAGCAATGATGGATAGTGGCTAGTAGTGGAATCCAGGACGCGCGTTTCGTCCTATGTGGGACTCATCAGCCGGATGTACCTGCACCTCAATGGGAAGATACAAGTCAAATAATACCAAGTGAATTGAAATTCACCCCATTGCACAAGCAAGTGGCTATCAGGACTCAGTAGCTAAGTGGATAAAGCGATGCCGTTTGAAGCGAATGGTACTGGGTTCGAGTCCCGGAGTGAACATCAACTCTGAGATGCAGGTACATCCAACTGACGAGTCCCAAATAGGACGAAACGCGTGTCATGGATGCCATTGCTAGCCACTATCCATCATAGTAATTCAGTTTATAAATTGATTTAACAGATCACTCTACATACAGATATCAAATGTTTAAAATTATAATAATGTAAATAAGTAATAAAAAAAATATTTATGATAAACATTTATATTATTCACTTACAACATGATTTAGAATAATTTCCAATATTTGTAGAAACTCCTCATATAAATTAACACTTGGATAAGCTGTGACCAATAGACTGGAACATACTACATAATTAATAATTCAAGAAAGAAAAAGTGAATTCAAAATATACAGTGTAGTAGTTTTTTGTCAGCATAATTAAGAGAAGAAGAAAAAGATATGCGTTAACCAAAGATTACAATTGAAAAAGAAAAACAACTGACCAGGAGAGCTTGATGACAACTAGCAGACAGGAAATTTGCTACCACTTAACGAATGAAATATGAAAATCAATATAATCATTTTATAAAACGTTAATCGTGTAATGAATTATGAGTTCACAAGTTAAGTATTTAATTGTAGTAATAAATGATCCTTGGTTGGTACTTCCGAAATCGTGACATTTCTTTTTCATAGGATAATAAAAACATACGATTGGTTAAATGTAAACAAGGTTAAAAATTAATTAGGCATTTTTATGCAATTATCACTAGGAGAGAGTGAAGAAACAAAGTGCATACTTCTGAACAACATGCCCAACAGTAATCTCTCAGCGAAATAAAGTATCACAATTATAAATGTATTTGTGGAGTAGGGTTTTTAACATTCTTTTTAGTAGCTGAAAGTACGAAGCCTTAAATATTGAGCCACATTCAGACACTTATCATAGCTATCCAAATGTAATTTTAACAATTCAGTGGAAATAACTGCATTTGGATTTGAACCACACTTTTTGTATGACAAAAGAGTGATACCTACTCATCTGTCTAAATTGAACTCGATGAAGAAAAATTTAAACATACAATTTTAACACCCAAAAACCTAAGTCTTTTAACCATCAAGCCATCGTTGTACAAACGTTTGAATAAGTAAGAATAAAATCAAAAAGTGATATATTCATTTATGAAGACTACACATTTAAACTTACACCTGTTACTCCTCAAGGCGGAGCAAAGAGTGTCCACAAGGATTGTCCATCCAACTCTAACCTGGACAATCCGTTCTAGTTACTATTCATTCTTTTGATATCACCCTCCAATTGCAGACGTAATGTTCTTTGGTCTTCTACTTTTCCTTTTGCTTTCAGGACTCCAAGTTAGTGCCTGCCTCATAATGCAGTCTGATAATTTCGGTAATGTATGTCCTATCCACCTCCAAAGTCTTTCCTTACCTTCCACTTCAGCTGGAAGCTGATCCGTTATCTACCATATTATGCCGTTGCTGATGGTACCCGGCCAATGAACACTAAGCACCTTGTATAGACAATTGTTCATAGATACCTGTACCATTTTGATGATGGTTGTAGTGGTTCTCCAAGATTCAGCCCCGTACAATGGGACCGTCTTGATGTTTACATCGAAAATTCAGACTTTGATGTTGGTCAACAGACAGTTGTTTTGAGTCGTAGATGTTCTCCAGTTGTAGGAATGCCGTCCTTGCTTTGCCAATCCTTCACTTCACATCTCCATCAGATCTTCCTTGTTCATCGGTGATGCTGTCCATGGTATGTGGAAGTTTCCATATTTTCTCTATCGAGTGTGATTGGGTTAGTGTTCTCTGAGTTGTATTTCAGGATCTTGATTTCTCCCTTATGTATATTGAGGCTTACTGCTGCAGAGGCTGTTACTACACTGGTTGTCTTCATCTGTATTTCTTTGGTGTGTAGCCTGCAGCTCTTCTAGGGTTAGTGCCGGTCCAAAGCCCGAGTAAAGGAGGAGGGTTGGGCAAACCCAGCCCGTAGATAACAACCTTGCCATAAAAACGCTAACACATTTAAACTACTATTATGGAAATGAAGCGACAAAAAAAACAGTAACAACCTTTTGTAAGACATGCAATAATATGTCCAGGTATATTATCATTATCCATGTTGTCAACATCGTTAATTCTTTTCTGTTCAACACATTCGTCACTAGTGTAACCACATTCATTTTGATTCGATCTAATCAATTCATTGTTGAAATTTGAGGATAGTGTTGAACTGTGTAATTTGCCATTTTTACCATCATCTTCAATCTCATAAGAAACATTTGGAAGTATATTAGTTATAGAAGGAGACCAACACTTATCATTATCATTAAATACTTGGGTAATATCACTCATCATAGTAGACTGTGATTGTTTTACATTAAGATAACATTTATTTTCAGCATACAAAGCGTTAGTATGACAAAAGCAGTAATAATTAGAGATATTAGGATCATTTGTTTTATTATCCATAGAATTTATACTACTGCAGTTATCACAGTCATTATTATTGTCATTATAATTATTTCCAACAAGTGCATTTCTTGTATAATAAACAGCAGTGTTAATACTGACTATTGGAGGTGAAACAGTTATTGGACAAGTAGAATCAGTTATTGTGATGGCACTTTTTGTCGTTGATGTATCTGAATTCATTGAAACACGAGAAGGAATTGAAGAACAGATAGAAGATGAAGATGCAGTCGGTGAACAAGAGCACGAGCAACAATTAAATTGATTTAAATGCAAAGAATGTGATTTGATTGTTTCGTGACACGGTTTAATTGGTGTGAATAGAATATGTTTAATTTCAGTTAAACATGAATGTAACATGGTTTGTGTTAGTTGATCTGTCGATCGTATATCAGAAAGACGTTTTTCTATTAAACATAAAGTAGATTTTCTGTGCTTTAATTTCTCAATACTTAATAGAATCTTATTTCTTGCTCCTTGTGTTACATTCTACAAAGAAATAATAATAATAAATGTAAGCAGAGCACGTAGATATTTTGTAAAAATATATATGAGAAACAAAGTGGATAGAAAAGACATAAGTTTGAGTAATGATTACAATAACACTTAGAACTGTCTTTGCATTGTCAAATAGTTTTAGATTGAGTTAACAGTACACCTGGCAACGTCAATAATGCTTGAAATCTTGTTGAAAATATTTGCTTATCATGGTTTTTACAAAAAAATATTTTGTCAGAGAATAGAATAGAAATTAGTATTACAACTTTTTACTGACTTGTTTTTATCAAAAAGACATCAATCACATCTGTCCACTTACTTTCTTATACAGTACAACGCCCCCAGATGCCCTGGTATGGCCGAGAGTGGGGTGGGCCTGCCCTCCCTCTCTAAATGCTCTCACACGACCACGCGTATACAGCCTTTGCCAGGGAAACCCTACTCACTGCCTTCTCGTGGCGAGGGTATTGTTTGTGAAAATGAGAGGACGAAAAGCGAATGTCCGGCGATTTAACTGGATCCCAAACCAAATCAATGGTGCAAATGGGCTCCAGTATCCTGCGGGAACAAATGGCGTATGAACCAATCGTTGGTCACCGGCTACCATGGGAATGCATCTCCTCACGATGCTCCACTGCCTTGTGGATCAGACCTTTAGGTCAAAGGCTCGGGGTGTGGTCCTCGACGAAAACCACGTGCTTCGGTCTGGGCACCCGGGCAGTATCACTGCCCATACACACACAAATATGGTGTGGAGCATGTATATTTGGTGCCCTCTTGTACCAATATTTATGTGTTGAAATAAAAATTAAAAAACAGTACAATGAAAAACTCAGGGGATTCACGAAGCACAGATATGTGGCATTAACAGTAATAGATAAAGATGGTATGTCACGAACTATCCATAATTGTTTATTATTATACCAAAGTATACATCTATAGTAGAGGCATTAGTGGGACGAAAAAAACAGACGGTCAGGAACACCATGATGTCTGAAAACAATTAACACATTGAAGCAAAACAAAAGTCCACATAAACTTGTAGCCTAAGTATTTATGTGACTACAAACCTTAAAACGGGATGTGAAAATCCAAATAATGGGGCTGTGAAGATAAGTTTACATTGAACTTGTTTCTCAAGCATCTTGAATGACTGTTTATAGAAGCGAATTGAATGATTTATGCAAAATCCTTGTATGTACATACATACGCGTTACATAGTGATATATTCTTTCTTTCACTCTATTCATTCACTATATTTAAATAGGCACCAAAATAAATATGATCCACAGAAATGAGGAAATATTGTGAAGACATAGAGGAGGGAGAGGGTGAACATAATCAAATAAATAAATAAACGACTGAATGGAATCATATAGACGAGAATAGATTATTGTAATAGAAACAAACCAATTTTTAAAAAGAACAAGTAGAAATTATTCCTCCAGCTAAGTGACTACTTGTGAAGAATCTAAAAAAACTATTGCAGGACCTCCGTAGGACTATATCTTAAGCCATGTTTGATAATGTCTTAAGACACTGAGTGAGACTATCTCTAGGACTTCAACCAGAGTCGTGAAGAACCGGAAAATGTCACTGATCATAGGGGTATCCTTTAGCCACTAACTTATTACAATCGAAATTCGGTACCCATCCTTTGATTAGTTTCCGTTTTCATTCTTAATTTGAGTTAAAATAATACCTTTTAATTTAGTCATCATACATTTTAAACAAAACATGCAACGGAACAATTTTTTTAAAACTGACAAAATATTAATTTTCACTATGATGTTTAAATTATCCAACAATATAACTTTCCCAAGTAAAAATACAACGCGCGGTTCCGTATGAAAGTAGAAATGCTACTAAAAAAACTAATGAAACTTACTTGCTCCTTCAACCAGTCATCAGTGATATTCATCATCTTCTCATATGACAAATTTTGGAATAGACTGGCATATTTATGCAGTCGTAAGCTTTTTAGCCAGAATGGGACAGCTTAAAGATAAATAGTAAAATGAGTAGAATACTGTGTTTTTTAAGATTGAAGAGTAAAAAAATAGCACAACAATTACATCATTTAACAAGTAATTACGATGGCTTCGAAATATAATACAGTACACCAAGTAACCTGAAGGATATGTGACACATGACGCAATCAAGAGTTCATCAAGATGTTGATTGATATGCCAAATTGTTTAAAAGTGTTCAAAAATGTAACAAAGATTATTGTAAATTGAAATTATGGTGAAAATGGGTCAAATATGCTCAAAAGGATATGTTAAGCAAAACTAGACCAAGGTCTAATCAAATTTTAACAAAACTATTTCCCTACAATGAAAAATAATTTAATTTGTACAATCTATATTTATGTCATTACTAATGGAGTATTTCATAGAAGTGACTGGGATAACTAATAAAATTAAACAACTAATATAACCAATTTCTCAAGATTCGCATTAGCTATGATGGATCGATTCAATGAACAAAATATTGATAAATACAAGACAATATACCATCAGAGTTTAAAATAATCAACAAAATGAATGATTTGGAATTATCTCATAAATCAGTCTAAAAGTAGATGGAAGAATGAAATCTGAATTGGTTATTTTTACAGTTAATAAGAATATCACATTGAAGTTTTTTAGTCTGTTATATTTACAGTCAGTATTCGATAAAAATCAGCACAATAATGAGATGATTACGTTAGTATTACAAGGAAATATGCATAGTGTATAACTACTTAATTCAGAAAACTAGGCAAAATCTCCTGGCTGAATCATATTCTCTTATTTAGATTGAACATTATTATTATTAATTATTATTAATGGCTTTATTTTTATGAGAAGTAAATTATTGGAATAACTAACAACCTATATGGAAGTTTATAAATGGATATATATACATATATAACGTTAATTGTATCACTGTTATTATAGATTCAGCTAAAAATGAATATTATTTGCTTGAATTTCAGTTTTATGTAAAGATTATCATAATCGGTTTATTCCTCATGATTATTTTCATTATTAATGTTGTAATTATATGAACCCTTTTCAGCCAGCTAATCAAAATCATGAAGATACTGAAAATCATGACAGCTATATTACATCATTTAAAAATTTATGTTCCCGTTACATGTCTAACATGTATATTAAACGATAGAATTTTCCTAGGTTTTTCAGTTATATGATTTACCAGTGATTCTAAAATATGATATCTGAGGAATAACACGTCCGATAAAACCTTATTAATGCACTTGATGTTAATTGTTGCATTCTTACAACTGGAGATCTGCTCCACTGATACTTATCTGTGATGTTAGTGATATATTGATTTGATCAGGAAACAAGTATATGCAAGGTGCTACCTTATTTCATATGTATATACTACTTCAAAAACATATACAAGATACAAAACATATACCTGTCATTCCAGAGGATGGATTTAAGAAATTATTCTCATCGGTGACACAATATGTATTACGTTCCATGTCAGTAGAATTTATTAACTTATTCGAATTCCTTGGAATTATAGAATGAGATGATTTATCTTGGACTTCAGGGAAATTCGGTGAAAAATGATCATGTAGCTGTTGACAAAGATGGGTTTGTGATGATGGATAATGATCATTCACGAAATCGGAACGTTGATTTGACAGGGATTCACGATTATCAGAGACAGTTTGACCATTGGCTCCTGTAGGAAACTGAAGAGAAGAATCGCTAGTATACGTAACGATATTCTCACGACTTTTTACAAGTTCCGGTGATGTGGAAGTCAAAAATATTGATGTAGGTGAGTGAGGAATACAAACCTAGAAATTATTATTAAAAAAATAAATAAAATATTTAAATTAATGTCTATAACATTTAATATATGATATAAATCCGAAACCGACACAAAAGATCATACCATCTCCCTTCCCCCCCCTCCAGTAATACAATTGTCTTAGCAAAAATAAACCTAACAACAGTATTTTTCTAAAAATCATATCAGCTAGTATTTAGGATTGATTCTTACGTATTACCGTTTACCAGTTTTTATTCTATTATACGAGCGAATTATCCTGGTAAAATGAGTTATTGACAATAAAATTAGTACCAGATTTCTTATAAACCTCTTTGCTTTAAAAATGAAATCACATTTCAATAACTTACACCAAGGTCTGTATTACTGGATGAGATTGAGCTTGAATCACTTAGTGTGCAAGTGGATACCCTTTGTTGGTGAATAACATTTGAAGATACATTAGTCTTGCCGCAATTTGTATCAGCGATTGAGTTTCGAATGGACGTAAGAAGGCTAGATGAACTAACTGTTGTCAAATCATTAAAATCCTTGGTTGTAAAAAAGTTCTGATTTGTACCTAGATCGGCAATTTCCGATGTTTTATTTTCTTGGTCATTATTATTTGACGATATTTGAGTATGGTATTGTGAAGAGTGTAAAGAATGGTAGTTAGATACCCTAGGAATGTCAGATAATCTTCTATATGAAAAGTGAGATGATGTACTTAGTGGATAAGGGCAGTAGGGATGATTGCTATAAAAATTGTTTGATAAACCAGATTTAACTTCAGCATTCGGAACGGTTAATAGTGCACCATAATTTGCTTTTGTAGTGTTCATACCATTGTTATGATTGCCCGAGTGTGATCCAGAATTAGAAGCCTCCATGAGTAGATCGTATTGACTATCTGAACTACCACAACCTGATAAGAACCCGGAAGAAGTCAATGAATGTGATGACGAATCTGAAAAATTGAGGTAAAAGTGAAGAATGAATTATTAAGACAATAAAGAAACGATCGTGAATGCGAATATTCCATTAGATTGATAATAATGTTGACAAAATAACTTGTTATTGACTGATTATTTCAGCCTGATTAAAGCATAACTATGTCGAGCGAACAACAATGAATTGGACAATATACAAAATTTTTGTGTAAGAATAAGGATTATAGGTATGTTTGTTCTTGAAGCTACAATATTTGATAATAAAAGTGATATGTTTCTGCAGTCAGTTAGTCACAACGTAGGACCTAAACGAATGTACATTGGTTCAAAATGCCATACCCTAACTAACACCAAGATGAAATCGTCAGCTCGAGTCCCAGAATAGTAGAGATATTAACAGTATCAGTGGTAATAGGAAAGATCAGGCATCGGAGATACGATTCAAGAAAATATAATTTAGTGGAATGAAAATACAAAGACGCTATGAGGAATTCAGAAGCTCAGAGTTTGTGAGAAGACAATGAATGAGTGAATTTGTGCCATTACAAACGATTTTGATCCACGCCATTCAAAGTCCCTAACCGTTGGTTAAGATAATCATGTAGACCCCAACCAAGTAGTCTAAATCTTTTAACATAGTTCAGTCCAATGGTTATTAACTTTTTGGACTAGTGCCGTGTGTTTGGTTTGGCCCCCCCCCACCTTTCTTCCAGTGTACTCCTACACCAGAAAATATCACCCACCAAGGTAGGCGCTGGTTGGAGATACGTAGAACATGTTCCAACTATCTCAGTGGATGACTTACCACCTCATAAATCGATTTCCCACCTGTATCTAGTAGTTTATCCCTAACCCAAATGTAGCTTACTCCATGGTCCCGAAATACAAGAGCAATACTTGGTAAACACCTATGATCCAATAGCAGAAGCTCATGAATACCCTCTATTCTGAATGAACATATTTCAAATCCATAATGTAGGACGGTGCGAACTGCTGCGCAGTAAACTCACCCTTTCGTTGAAAGACGGATATCTCGACTATGTGACAAGTGACGCACGTTGACAAAAACCAATGTTTCTGTAATAAGTGAATAATTTGCAACTCCGACACTGAATGAGACCGTTTCCATCCTCTCCCCAGCCCGCTAACTAAACTGAAAAATTCAAGCTTGTATAGACGTTTTCTTGGCATAGACTCCAGGAGAACAGGTTTTTCGATGCAATGAGATAATATACTTATGTACGAAAAAGTAATACGAAATGAACGTAAAAAGATGTTGTAAGCGATTGGAAGTCGTTCACTCTCCTATCAATTGGAGTTTGATTGTCTATCGTATCAAGACGTTTTAGCACCCGACGTGGTGAGCTCATCAACGCTTAACTTGTTAACCTGAAAAAATTATCACTAAAAACGTTCGAAAATATATTGAATTTATCAAGACAGTTAATATAAAGCTAGATTTCGGTCGCAAAACAAGAAAAAATCTCTCCTACAGTGGACAAAGCTCATCTTAAATAAGTGACTTTTATGTTCGTGTAACTAGGGTAGCAGAAGAAAAACGAGAATGACAGTAATACCGTTACCACTATTAGTTTTAAGTTCTAATATGCGACAACTCGGGTTGCTTATTAGAATGATTTCTATGAAAACATTAAGGGAGTTTTGATGTACCAATAGAAAACAACCTACGACAACTACTTTTTACATTATGACAACACGATACTTCTCCCATCATCCAATCTCACCTGGCATTCTAATAAAAGTATTCACTACTCGATGGCTGCACTATAATATGGTGGTCCACCAAAGACACTTACATGTAAGCAATCCTCCCATGTCTTTTCACATTGACTATTTCGCTATTATCTGGTGAAGTAGCACACAATTTTGAAGTATGCACTGCGTGCACTACAGGTTCAAATAACCCTCTTGAGAATAAGTAGTAAATCTATTGAAAGCTAAGTACACCAACCCGAATAATGCATCATATATGACACAAAACGTCCCAAAAAACTTTTACATAAGATTGAAAAAATATTACAACCAGGGATGATAATATTAATTTTTATTTTCTAAGAGTTTTGAAATGGGTTCAGCACCGATACTGACTGATTTTGCACACTACAACAAACTCAAAACTCCAACTGTCCTACAGTCGACGGATTGAAAGTAATCAACCCAAGAGCTCACAATCACCATTAATGTTAAGAAATATCATGATTCGGAATATGTAGAGTACATAATTTACTTCATGCGGAGTTTTATAACCATACTTAAACTAGGACTCCTAGATGAAATTAGGCTCTTCTAAAATAACTTAGTGAAAATCATATTGAATGACCATGGGTCATACTCTTTTACAGTTATTGTAATTCACATGTCATTATCAGAGTCGAACAATATACTGTATCTGATATAATTAGATCATTTAGAATTTGGAACCAAAGTGGCCTCAGTGACTAAATCCAGAAGAGGACACGCAAATAGCTCATACTTATTCGGTTTCCGTTTGAGAAACATTACCATGTCAAACAGTGAGTAACAGGAAAGTGAAATTATATATAATACAGGAAAATATGTGAAGGCACAAGAATCTAACCTGATGTTATACGTTGTAAAGCACAGGAAAGATCCAAACCAAGGTCGATCAGACAGTCAAACAATTTTGAACAAAGCCCATCATCCGTAGGACCCTGTTTTACTAATGTACTGGTTTCTTTAGATAATCCCTTGTATTTGTTTCGAATAGATGACAGTAACCATTTGCGGTCATCTTCGTTAAAGGATGTGTGAAGGATTGTTGCGATAAAAAGTTGACCAATCGACGTCTGTACTGCCGCTTCACGCAAAGGAACATGATTACTATCAACTCCTTTAATTATTGAATCACAATCAGTAGCAAGTGAAGATACAAATTTATTGCTGACCAGTTCTAGGTACTGTCTTTTAATGGACCGAAAATTATTTGAAATCACATCAGCATCTGGAAGTGAATCGCCGAACATATTCTTAGTACGGGTATTGGAATTAAATATATCCATTTCCGGCTTGACTGGCGCAGAATCATGACCAACAAATCGATAGGCTTCATTATTGTATTGTAGACCCGATAAAGATGTAAGGTTTTTCAAAATGTCTAGTAGTTCATTCGTCGAAGCCGATGTAGCGCGAAGTTTCTTTAGGTGGTCTGGAGGAGAAAGTGTAACATATTTTGTAATATGCAGATAATTTTGATCAAATGATCACACAAATTAATTGTGTTGGAACGTTTATTAATTCGGAGAAAATTCATTAGTTCAATAAAAAGAGAAGATACAACAGGACAAGTGACAGCAGTAAAACACCATATTTATTTTGGAAGTTAACTACATATGACAATATTGTTGAGACCTTATTAAAGGACCATGAGTATGAATTTAAGATATCCAGAAGGGAAAAAAACTCTCTATTAGTCACCAATAATGACAATGCTTTTTAAAAAGGGGTAATGATTTCGTACTTGTCGTGAATTGACTTTGCTTTGTGCGTTTATTGCATCAAAAGAATACTTGGTCTGCTTTAACATGAATTATTTCGGTTAACGTTGGAAATCTTATTCAAATCCGTTTTGTAGTACTCATTTTTAATTTATCCTCACACTATTGATTACATTGTGTATTTTCATTGAATGTTTCACTCTTGCAATCCGTTTACAATGGTCGGCTGTACTTATAAACAGGGACAGCCAAATTGTTTCTTACCTGTGGAGAAACGAATGCAATGTAATGTGTAAAACCAGTTCCACAAGATATGTATCAGTTTAAGTCCCATCGCATACAATAGATTCTCGAAGCTTAACTCTCATTGGCTTCGTATATTTGCTGTTCGAGTCAAACACTTGACTGCGAATTATGGAAAAGGAAAATCTCCCGTGAAAAAAAGTGAAATGTAACTGAATATTCGAGGTCGTGATTCTAAAGTGGTGCTCGAAGACACGGATAAAACTGTCACAGTTCTAAATGGTCTCGATGTGGCTGTTCTGAGTGACCGGAAATAGACGACCGTGCGGAGACAAACAATAGGAAGAAAAGAAGTCCCAAACACTATCCGTCTGGTTGATAAATTTTTCGGTCAGTTAGTCGGCTACACCGTAGGATCAGGCACATATATTCATCGGTCTAAGTTTAAACATGTATTCCAGAACGAGCAGCAGTCTTCCATTGAGCCTCTCCAACGTTGACTGATGGCAATATGGTCTATTTGAGTCCATCGTTGGTTTGGTGCAGGGGGTCACCATGTTAGACGATATCTCTACCTACGCCTAAAATTATTGCTTGCTAAAAAATGTATGACTGTCTAAGCACAGTTGCAGAAGACGATCACCATTATCTGTTCACTGAGCCGGAATGCTAAAATATCCACCTAAGTGTCTTTCTGTTTGGTTTAAGCTACCTACCTGAACATTAAAGTCAGCTGCTACGAGTATTATACCTGAGCATTTAATTTTATGAAGAAGTTCAGAAAGCTTTCTGTTAAAGTCATCTTTCATTCCATCCAGGCTGCAGTCAGTGGGAGAGTAGGCAGAAATGACGAAAAAGCAACGACGTGTATCCCTATCCTTCCCGACTGAAGCTGCTACCTTGACGCGAAGGTCGAGCTTGCCGATCGTGATGACCCAACCGAGCTATATTGGCTGGAACATATGTTCCTGTAGGTTCTACCATGCCAGGCAGGTCGGTTGGAGAACGGTAAGACTAAAAGCAGCAACTCAAGGTCTGAGGGCGAAGTCGTACTGCTGACTGTGTGACAACAGTAAGGTGTTACCCTCGGACAACCACCATCTACAGAAATGCTGTCTTCTCACAAGGAAGCAGGGGGTTAGAAAACGTCGACCCTAAAAATGTCACACCTCACCTTACCTCACGGATTTTTGTCTCTGGCAGTAAGGCCCTTTGAAGGACGGAGCTAACACATTAAAAAATCCCCAGGAAAAGGCCATGCGCAACCGGCTTCAAGCAGCTGTCCCTTGGGCTCTACAGTGACGCTCCCATGTCGTTAAGACCAACACTAATCCAACTTCCTTTTCAGGTTCCTCAAGAAATACCCTTCCACGGTGTGGGCAGCCGGGAAGTGATATCAGCCCTCATACTCGTAACAGCACACGAGACCAAGTTGGTCACATTTAAATCCTTCCTACACTTCCTAATACCTCTCTTACCTCCATGACTAACCCTCCTCACGTCTCTTTATCATCTCGCACCGCTAGGGCAAACCATTCGAGTACGCGGAACGCTATTCCCGGTCTCCTGAAACCACGCTCTAAACTACATGTAAGAGCTTTTAACGTCCAAACACTGTGCCAAATAGGACAACAGGCTTCCTTAGCTAGGACTTTAGGATCCCGCGCCATCGATGTGTGCTGCGTCTCCGAAACACGCATACAGGGTCCGAGTAGCGTCATTCATCTGACCTCACCATGCCAAAATAAAGAACCGACTCGATTCACACTTCGTGTATCTGGAAGCCCTGATTCTGCTTCCCGTGGTCTCGCCGGAGTAGGTATAGCATTCAGTCCTAGGGCAGAACTAGCTCTCTTAGAATGGATCCCAGTAGACAGTCGTTTGTGCACTGTCCGACTGAACGGAACAGTAAGGATCCGAAAAGATAGGGACACTCGTCGTTGCCTCTTCGTCGTCTCTGCCTATTCTCCCACTGACTGCAGCGCAGATGATGTAAAAGATGAGTTTTACAGAAAGCTCTCCGACCTCCTCCTAAAAGCTAGGCGCTCGGATGTAGTAATAGTGGCTGGTGACTTTAATGCTCAAGTAGGTAAACTAAGAGATGGGGAAAGACACTTGGGTGGATCTCATAGTGTCGTGGCTCAAAGAACAGATAATGGCGACCGTCTGTTGCAGCTATGCTCAGATAACCGCCTGTTCCTTGCAAATACTAACTTTAAACATAAGGAAAAACATCTTTTAACATGGCGAACCCCTAATTCGTCCCAACGTTGTACCCAAACAGATCAAATCACTATCAGCCACCGATGGAGGGGCTCGATAGAAGACTGTCGCTCATTCCATAGCACATGCTTAGATTCAAATCATGCTCTAGTGCAAGAGCGTATTTTTATGCGTTTTAATGGACGCAGGAGAGACGCTGCAAAGAAATCTCTTAGGGTCCAATTTAATGATAGTCAAGCTAAGAATATATTTCAGGAACAACTAGGAAAACAGTTAGGCAGCCATTTAAGTAATGCCCAACCCGAGGCAGCATGGAATGATATCCGAAAAGCTGTGGAAACAGCAGTGATATCTGCTAGTACGGTAACCCCTAAGGTTAGGGAACAACACTGGATCTCAACAGCATCTATCGCACTGACAGATGCTCGGAAACTCATTCCACCTGGCTCTGAACATAATGAAGAACGGAGTCAGCTTAAGTGCAAGCTGATAAGAAGTCTACGCAATGATCGTGAACAGTGGTGGGTAGTGAAAGCAAGAGAGATGGAAAAGGCAGCGGCAATAGGCAACGGCAGACAACTGTTCAGACTTGTCCAGGAAACCGGAATTAGGAACCCGACCGTTAGCGAAACAATCTCAGAGAAAGATGGACATATTATTCGTTCTCAATCCAGGAGATTGGATCGATGGGCAGAACACTTTAGGGATCAGTTCAACTGGCCTTCAGCCACACTTCGGTTTCCCACGATCTCTAGTCAACCTGAATGGCAAGTTAATGTAGGTCCTCCGACTTTTTACGAAGTTGAAAAAGCCATAGGAAATCTGAAACGAGGGAGAGCAGCAGGCCCTGACAGGTTTACTCCTGAGATTTTTAAGGATGGTGGTTCAGTATTAGCAGTGAGATTAACCGAGGTCTTAGGTAGAATTTGGGAACTGGACGTAATCCCATCTGACTGGTCTCAATCACTGATTGTGCCAGTCTATAAGAAAGGACAAAAGTCCTCTTGTGACAATCACAGACGAATCAGTTTGACTAATATAGTGTCTAAAATATTAGCTTCAATAACACTTCGACGCCTAACTAAAGCTCGTGAAGAGCAGACTAGAGAAAATCAGGCTGATTTTCGACCTGGACGTGGTTGTATAGATCAGATATTCACACTACGTCAGGTTCTAGAACACAGACACATGTTCAGACACCCCACAATGGTAGTATTTCTCGACCTTAAGGCGGCATTCGACTCTGTTGATCGTGAGGTTCTATGGCAGTGTTTGTCACTGAAAGGAGTACCAAAGTACATTAACCTTATAAAGGCTCTCTACTCGAACATAACTGGTAGAGTGAGAGCTTATGGAGAACTGCCATCAGAATTGATTACCTCAAGTGGTGTTTGTCAGGGCAAGAACAGAAATCGAATTGCTTACATCTGGAGTTCTGTTTCCCTCCTCGAGTAGTAAATTACTGGGATTCTCTACCACAACACATAACATCAGCACATTATGTCAATACATTTAAAGCGAGACTGGACATCCAGTGTTAAAAATTGCAGAAATTTATATAAGTCGATAGACCTATTGTAGTGTCGGTTACTATGTTAAGCCCACATAACTTATCGTAGCTTCTAGACAAGTCAATTTATCCATTTTTCTTGAGCCACATTATGACCTTGTTAATTATTCGCTTGTCAACCCTGACTGCTTTTATGTAAGCGTATGTGTGTTCATTTCTTACCTTACTCATCACATGTCTGTAACTTATTTTTACCTGACTATAAATATCTATTAATGCTTGATTGGATGGTTAGCTCATTTGCCTTCTCTACTGCGTGTCATTTTGCTTCGCTCTGTACTCTTCGCTTTGTTCCTCCGATTGCCTGTCCAGATTAATGAGTGTCCAAAATATATGTATTCAGAAACCCATTCTCGCATTTAACTTATTTAATTCCTTTATACACTAACGCGGATTAAGCCGGTAATAATATACAAAAATAGTCAAGATGTATATTTTGACAGTAATCATTCACACGATCTAATTGGAGTCAGATTTATGGCCACTAAACTATCCTAACTAATGAATACTGGAACGGCACAATTAACAAGTGTGTTTACATATGTCCGTACGTACGCAAGCTTGAGACAACCATACAACGAAGGTGTTTATCAAGAACTACGAAGTGACATCATTAAGTACGTACTATGATATAAAATGAAGTTTGTTACTCAAATTTACAGCTAGACTAGGACACAAATGGACTAAAGTTTATACTAAGTAGCCATTATGACAGTAAATATACTAAGTGAATTCGGACTGTATATACAGAAAGAGGTACCGCAGGACACGACTTTCGAACTAAGTATTCAAATATTAACTATCAAAATAAAATATGAATCCGAAGAAAAATACATAAACCAACCTGAGTAAAACCTCACTTAGCACATTGCCATGACTTACCCGAGTCGCTGATATTGATGAACACTTGATCAAGATCTTCTTTCGACTCTATTATAGTATTATTTAACCACTGTTGTGCAGCACAACGGTAGCCTTCATCGCATTGCGAAAGCAGCACTATGGCAATCAAAAACTTCTTATGACTGTTGATACATGAAAGCCGTGAAAAATAATATAGCTCCTGTACATTCAACAGTAAATTTAGATCATTTCTTACGTTAATACCAAACGCTTGTTCTTCTGTAACGTAAAACTCATCCTCTGATTTCCCACCTAAACCACTATCACAACCATCGCCCAACTCCAGATTGTTATCCAGACAAATCGTGGGAATACTAGTGACGTTACATTGCGAAACAGACGCTTTCGCCGATGACATCAAGGAACACCACTCATTACAGAATTCAGCCGGAGACTGTAAAGTTCAATTATGAAATGGCCTCTTTTTCAACCTCGATCTTTTCAATAGTCAAAATTTACCGACCAGAAGTACAAAAATAAAATACTAGTCAATAAATCGAACGATTAAGGAATAGCAACAACAGTTTTCCTCTTCACTACCTAAAGAAAAGAAGTAAGTGTAGTGGCAAATAAATCCCCAGAATCAATAGCTCTGTAAGTCTTCAGTCTTCATTAATAAGGATAGTAAATGGTTCAAATGGTTGTGGACGGAATAGAAGAAGCTTTCGCTTAACAGGCTTCCGTGTCTAGTAGGTTGATGAACCTGTATTAATCCTGACACACTGCTTTCCAGTGAACGTCCAGCTTTTTCTTGAAAGTATTCACTGATAGGGCTGATACCACTTGTTCGGGTAAGGCGTTCCAATCACTGACTACTCGATGAGAAAAATGGGACCCCACTTTAAGTTTATTAGATCGTGGTTTATGAACCTTCTTGCTATGACCTCGGAGATTATTAGTGCTGGAGGGAGCAAAATGATAAGACGTATTAACACCCAAATAATAATTAAAGATACGAAATGCCAGTATAAGGTCACCTCGTGTCCTACAATACGACAAGAGGAAAAGATTTAGGCGTTTTAAACGCTCATCGTAAGGGAAGTCTAGAAAGACCCTTCACTAATTTCGTTCCCACACGTTGGACACGCTCAAGGGAGTTAGTATCCTTTACAAGACACGGGCTAACTGCTTGGATACAGTACTCTTAGTATGGTCTTACATAGGTGGGATATAAAATTCGAAACGTTTCCTCGTCAAAAGATTTGAACGCTCGGCGAAGTGACCATAACGCACGAAAACCTTCGACAGCGGCTGCTTTGCAATGCGTAATTGTTTTTAAATCATGACAATATTACTCCTAAGTCTTTATGCTCTTGAACGCATGGAAGAGGTTTACTCTCAATAGTGTAACAGTAACTATTACCGTGACCGATGTGCATGAGCACACTCTTCCTAGCATTGCATAAGACCTACGTGTGAAACCTTGTCAAATGCTTTGTAAAAATCTATGAATATCACATCAACCGACAGACCGTTATCTAGGGCTGCTGTCCAATCCTCCCTAGCAATAAACAAGTCAGTCAAGCATGAACGCTTGTTACGAAATCCGTGTTGCTCAGGAGCTAACAGATTGTGTAAATCCATGTGGCTTAGCAACCTAACCCGAATTATTTTTTCAAGTAACTTAACGACTATGCTAGTTAGACTGACAGGCCGGTAGTTAGATACTATATGTCTATGACCGTCCTTGAATATAGGACTGACTATAGCGTCCTTCCAATCTCTAGAGAGTTGAGCGAGTGAAAGCGACATGTTGAAGCGTATCGCAAGCGGTTTTGAAATAATGTCCGCAAGAGATGACAGCAACCGTGGATGTAACTCGTCAGGGCCCGGTGTCTTACCAGGTTTGAGGTTAGCTATCAACGGAAGGACAGTTTCCTCAGTCACCTGTACAGATTCAATGGATGGTATCTCGATGTGACTGGGACAAGTATTTGTAACAACACACATGGATTGGACTTCGCTAAAGTAGTTTGAAAAAGTCTCAGCTTTTGCTCGATCTGATTCAGCCAGTAAATCTGAGGTTTCGTGTAACAGCAATAAGAGAACACCATCACTATTTATTGTTCGCCGTTTAACATACTAAAAGGATCGTTTCAGACAAGTATGGCTATCATATGCCAACTGTCGTTCGTAAGTAGTACGGAATTTAGCTATGGTCTTTTTACATGTATTCCAGATTTTTTGGTATTCATACTTGAATGATGCGTGTCCTTTAGGCAGGAATAGGTCCCAGAAGTGTTTCCTACGCTTCAACAGCTTCCGGCTTTTCTTATTAATCCATGAAGGGCAATGTGATAGCTTACCTGTTGACCTTGGGATAAACGGTGATGTTACGGACTCAAATTCAGCATTAAATGTATTACATTCGTCTTCGATCGATCCATCCGCGTCGACCAACCAGTCAGTCGAGATAGCACAGTCTCTGATTGCCGGAAAATTAGCTCGCCAGATATTGGGACGGAGTGGGGCAGATACAAATTGTATACCATGTGTCCTAAACTTAAAGTAAGGTACAACGTGATCAGTATTCACTAGTGAGGGAAGGTGCCGAATGTCGATGACATCCTCACAGCGGTGTGTGAGGACAAGGTCCAGCAATGACGGGTCATATTCCAAGCCAATATGTGTCGGTTTTGCGATACATTGTACAAGTGCACACTGAATAATGGTTGATAGAAGGTCGCTATCGAACCCCCCACCTGGAGCTGTAAGCTCTATCCAGTTGATATACGGTGCGTTGAAGTCTCCAGTGATGGGACAACGTTCTGCCGTACTCCAAGAACAGGCGTGTCTTAAGATAAAGTCGTCAGCAAGACAAAACGGACTACGGTATATTCCCCCTATAGTCACCAACCCATTTCTAGATTTAATCTGACAAAATGCAACCTTACATGTACCACTAGTATGCGCCTCCGATATGATTAATTGTATACGAGTGATCCCTAACGTATAGTATTATGCCTCATCCCTATCACTTCTAATACAGATGTAACCTGCGATGATGGGAGAACAATCTATATCTACGGTGAGCCAAGTTTCTGTAACGACAATTATATCGGGACTTGATTCACCCATCATCAAACTTAGGTCGGACGATTTATTTCGAAGACTACGGGCGTTCGTGTAGCATACTTTTAAGATGCTTTGGGAATCATTCGTTCTACCCATACAGGCCTCGAAAGCATTGGCTCCCAAGAACTGACTACCCGAAAACCCTTAATCGTAAGGTTCGTTTCGCCATATAGCATTTGAGTTCTTAACTCTGTACGAGCATTCTTCCACTTCATTCGATCCTCAAGCGACCAATCTGGTCGGATACGAATATTTGAATCACGAGTTTTGGGTGCGTTATTCAATATCATGTCGAAATTCCCGAATACCAACTTCAAGATCCTTCTTGGTTGGGTCTGGCCTCCGACCCATTTACCGAGTCTTATTACCTTTGTTATATGTACCCCTGAAACCTCTTCAGGCAGTACATTTCTGACTACAGATTTCACTAACTGCAGACCATCTGCATGTCTTTTATTAAGGTCATTGTCTTTCAACTCCTCTAGATTCCAAATAATTAGACTAGGAGGCGGTTTAGCTTCCTTTGAAATTGTGTTAGCGATTTTCGACCGTGACGATAGATCCTGTATATTAACTACTGGTATCTTACGATTAGCTTTTATTGTAACAGAGTCCTGTGAGTGACTCACAACAGTGTTAGACTAAGCTTTACTTTGGAGCTTTGGTGGATTGGTCTGAGAGCCTGTTGAATTATGGTCTACTATGATATTAGTACTGCTCTAATAATAGACCTAATCCTAAAATTGTAGCTTTGTCATGATATAACTGACTAATCTATAAGATCTTACGTGGAAGTCACACCATCGACTACACCAGCACACTGTATCGTATCAATTACCAATACATGATGTAGAACAAGGTTAGTCTAGAGAAGGAACAATATATTTAATATGAATAGAAGATATAAGGTAACATTCAGAAGGACCACGCCTGCATGGTCGAGCCATGCCATCCGATCAACTCCAATCCATTCATTTCATTCTCCGCGCCTTCTCCATTGTTAGGTATTTCCCCGAGTTAATTATTGAATATCTATTTTCCGAGTAGTCTCGTGTTCACAGCTTTGTGGATTGTGTGGCTATTGTCCAATGCCACTACACTACTCTCCCACCAGAATCAACGTGATGTTGGTTCGATACCAAATTGGATGGGATCGTCGCGCGCCGGAGGTTACCAAGGATAATAAGGATCCTCCGGGTATTGTCAAGCTGAAAGATAAATAAAAAAGACGGCACCATCTGGTCGGGAAATACATGTAATAATCTTAAAATATCTGCTTCCATGATTAACACGCTTAAAATGAAAGTTTGGTTGAAGATTATTTGAACTATAAAAAATGGGATTACAATAATAATAATAAAACGATGCGTGTTAATAACTTAACTTATAGGCAGTAATTATTTTGTGTTTAGAAATATTAAAATAATGAATATTGTAGAAATGTTAATATTGGTATTAGTTTTGGTTTAAATTATGAGATCAGATAACGATTATGCCGGTAAGTTGTCCATATGAGTTGAATTCCAATTACATCTGTATTAGTAAGCTAACTGAAGGAACAAAAGTATACCGTGGAGAAGAATTCCAACTAGTGTTCCAGTTAGTTTGATACGGTTTATTTAGTTACGGGGAGATTTTCTCAACCTCATTTTTACTTGACCGTGATAGAATTTAGTAATACTACTAATACACATGAATGGTTATCAAAATAAAATTTAAATACATGAGTGATAATTATATGAATTTTGGACAGATAGCTAGGGACAAATCGTTAAACATGAGTGTATTCGTAAGAGACATGTTCTGGGCTCAATGTTCTGATCTGCGGCAGACTATTTATTTATATTTATACTTGCTGGCTGATTGGGCATACAAGTTAGTTGCAAGTATGCAGTTTATCATAAGGCGGAATACGATTTAATTGAGATATAGTGGTTATAAGTTATTAAAATCAGTTAGGCCTGTGTCATATTACGAAGTGATGTGGTGCTGCAAGATGTATTCGGCTAAATAAGCTTTTACAAGATGATTAACAGTGAGTGATGCTCATGTGATTATCAGGGAGTACATAAGTTGTAACCAAGGGGAGTACACTCCCAACTCATGTCTATGATAATGGCTTGAACCTTAGTCAGTGTTGGGGTAAATTCGACATTGATGTTTTCAGTTTGCAGGAGATTTGCTCGACTGCTTATACTGATTATTTGCATGCATGATTGTGTCGCTAAACCATCAATTAGACTGACAAGGTTTTGAGATATTTACTGAATAAGCAACCGATAGAGAAACATACTGTAATCATCTGTAGTGAATAAAGATAAAAGAAAAACAACACTAGTGA